GGTAGCACTGTATATTAACTGTTGAGCCTGCAACTCAGCTCCAGAACAGGTATTTAAACACCTTAAATACTCCATCAGACGAGAGGAAAGCTGCTTTCCGAAGGAGAAGAATAGCAACCTACAGCTGTGGGTTGACTCAGATAATCTCCAGTTATCTGTTCCGATAGCCAAATTACGCTCTTACAAAGGTTAGCGGTGTCCATGCCAATGCAATCACCATACCTCGCTGGCCTGACACGTCGCTTAGTGTTTTTACTGCTGCCGAATTTCCCTGGCCGGAGAGGGTGAGGGTGTCCATCTGAAAAAAGGTCTAACCCAAGCAAACCCACTCCATATGTTGTGATCCGCGATCATCCCTCATCCCTGTGGCTGATTCCCCTGATTACAGGCCAGAACAGGAATGCAACCTATTTAAAGGGGGCTGTTTTCAAATCAGCGGCACGTCCTTTCGTTAGTTAAGGTACGTGGGTCTGACACAAAAGCTGTCTCTGAAATGTCTCTGGGCTGCGGCGTAGGAAGGCAGCGTGCGTCTGTCAGGATAGCACTTGACTCAGATTGGGCTGTTTGCCCTATTTTCTAGCTTTTTGACTGCTGTACAGATAATAGGACCCCTCGAGAGCAGAGGAAGTCTGGCATCGAGGCAGGATTCTTTTGAGTAATACATGGCCCTGGTGGGTATTAATCCTGGTAATTTAGGCAGGTGGATGCGAGCGATCCTAGAAAATAAATATAGATTTCCACGTTAAAGGTTTAGTTTCTATAATGATGTTTTCTGAAATGGCAGAGAGTCTGCAGACTCACTGTGGAGATGAGGTTCATGAATGGCACAAAAAAAACCCAAGAAATTTTGGGGATCAAGTAATTGGCCAAAAAATGTTTACAGAAACAGTTAAGAAAAGTTTGAGACTTTGCAATTATTTCTGCACGCAAATCACTATGTTAGTTTATCCAAATACTACTGAACACCAAAACAAGTCCCAACCGTAGCTAGAATGGAGCCGACTCACCAGATTTATTCATGGCTGTTCCCTTATCAGAGTAGCTTTATTTCTTCTAGTTGTGAGCATGATTCGCTTTTCTACCCATAAGATCGGTTCACAGTTGCATCTCGTCTTGCGTCAACGCAGACATGTCCCCGTCCTGTTTAAAATCCTTCTTTACTTCCCGTGTTTTCTCCGAGTTGTGCCATGGTGGGCACATTTTTACGGGCTTTGGTTTCCCCTTAGTTCTTACTTCTCCTCTACTAGTGTTACCGTGCTGATTTGTCTTTTCCTCGTGCTGTAATTGGTCTGGTGCCACGGTGTAATTTTTAACTGTGTGCGGTACCAACAGACCTCCATCTGTCTCTCCTCCAGAGCTTCCCAGCCTGCCGTTATAAATATCTGCCAAATCCTTCTCCAAAGAGAGGATCACCAGATTCCAACTGTTTGCAAAATAAGAGCCGCCGCCAGAAATCCTCTCCCAGCGTCTGCAACCTGTGCAGAACCTGTCCCCTGCACGTGGTGGGGTGGCACTGCCGGCACCCAGGAGCTCTGACCATTGCTTTAGTTTGTTGTCCCTCGGAAGCGTACCCTTCTGCAGAGGGTTCAGCATATCGGTCTGTTTGCTCAAGTATATCATTATGTGTGTCATTTTATTAGAAAATAACCTTCAATAGCCATCAGGTAATAAAACCAAAATGACTTGAGGGTGGGGGGGTTTTCCCCCTTTAAAATGCAGTTCTGATTTCAAACATGCTGTGGGATGGATTGAGTCCGGTGTTGTTTTCTAAGATGCTTTACTTGACCTGGAAGGTACTCAGAGTGCGTGCCCCTTTCCCAGCCTGTCCCTTAGAGCCTGAGGGACAGTTACCTTGATCTAAAGCCGGAGTAACTCGTAGGACTTGCTGACTGTACGCCCGTGTTGCCGAGAGCAGAGTTTGATCTTCCACATCTCCATACATATACATCAGATCATTAGAAGAATTAGCACCAAAGCCAGGCAATCCATTGATTGGATTGTGCACACTAAAAAATAGCAAGTTTTCTAATGTGGATAAAATAAAATAATGTATAAAGACATTTGGATAAAGTAAAAAATATAGATTGTGGTGTAGGTGCCCTTCTGACACCATTAAAGCCATTCTCCTAAGAGTCAATTGATTCCATTGATTCAAAGGCATTTGAGGGTCATGTGGCTTTTTAAATTCAGTTCTGTACCGTAGGCTATGATCATCACGCGTGTTAGCATTTGCTGGTGGTATACTGTGGCTGAGGAATTACCAACGAATCTCTTGAGGTGCTGCTGCAGACATCTAATTAACGATAAATGTGTGTTTGAATCGAACTCTTGCTAGCTAAAGTTAGATCCAAGGAACAAGGTTCCAGTTCTTTCGATGGGATATTGGAATAAGTCAGCAGAAAGGATTTTTCAAGGGTATTTCACGAGAGGGTTTTGCTACATCCCAGTTCTGCAGAACTTTGCAAAGGAACATAAGGCATGTAAAGCAGATTAAGGATTTGATAAATGCTCCTTCCAGTCTACGTTCAGAATAACCCAATATTTCCAAGAGACAGAAAAGTGGGAGCTGTAACAGCTTGACACAGGCATGGACCATGGGGACTGTGGCTGGAGGGTGTTTTTCTGTAGAGGGAAGTACCTGAAGCACCAAAGAAACTTGGGAGTTTGTTTCACAATGTATAGTCAGGTTTAAAAAATACCGATATTTCCTTTGTCTAGATTGCACTGTGGATTTGGTGTCCATTTTGGAAGGTTTTAGGACAACCAAGTTCATGATTTTCTAGGAGGGTGCGCTACCACTTAATAATACATTATGACAGCAGAGAAATATGTACAAACAAGTCTAAGCCTGCAGGACAGCTATACTTACTCCCAAATGAATAATATCCCCAACCGTTGCCAGGGGTGGCAGGGAGCAAATAGAAAAGTGAAATTAGAGAGACCGGACTATCCTGGCGGTGATGTACTGACGGCCCAGCGTGTCGAGCAGGCAGCGCAAAGGAGCTGGGCTGGGGGAATAGCTGTGCTCGCCAGATTGAGATCTAGCCCTTATTTAAGTCTGGTTTTGTGGAGCAAGACTTTCATGTAAAGGAACAGCCGTGATTTGTTTCAAGTCTTCAGGAGATAAAAAGCAGATGGCATTGATTAGCTAATTAGTAATATTTTGTGCAACTTATCAGCGTAAAGTTTGCAAAAGCTTGGGATGAATCTTTCTCTGATTTGTTGAAGAAACTGAATATTTTAAAGTCTGGAGGGGAGGGAAAGTTATATACAAATGTGTGATTTTTCTGCCCAACAGAAATATGTTAATCTTCTCCTTTGAATTTGTATTCAGAGCTCATTTCTTCATTTTTGAGGGGAACATGCACAATGAGGTTGCGGCTCTCCCAGGTCTTGTCTTGATTGCGTGGTGTATTGCGTGACGTGCCATAGGTTTCTGGCTCTCCCATATTCCTCTTTGTGGGCATGCCCCTTCTCCATTTGTGTTTACTATGGAGACAAAGCAAAATAGTATTTTTTTGTTTTATGCCAGGCTCACTTTTAGCTTGTCTCCTTGTGAACCCTTGGCAGTCACAGCAGCACCCTAGCAGGACTTCTGCCAAGCGTTGGCCACCTCCATGACTGCTGCTATGACAGCGGTCGGTGCTGTTTTGGCCAGAGCATTGCTGGAGTGTTGGAGGACACTCCGACCTTGAGTTATACTGGACAAATACCTTGATGTTGTCTCTATGCTGGCAATTGTTCATCATTTAGAGCGAGATAGTGTACCTCACCAAGATATTAATATAAAGAAGAATGTCTAAGAAGGAATATCAGCCTTTCAAACCCTGCTGGTGGCACAGCAAAGTTTTCATACAGCCAAAACCCATGAGATTTATCCGGTTTCTCCAGCCATGTGGATACAGGAAGGCTGGTGGGTAGATACCAGTCTCGGTAGTCATGGTGGTGGGTGGACACAGCTTTGGGTTCCTAACGAGCCCCATAATTAGAACTTACTGCAAATCCTCTGGAGGTTTGATCTCTGCACCAGCACCACCCCAAAGCCTTTCACGCGACAAGGTCCCAGTGCAGAAGCTGTATTTTAATTGCCAGCGTGTAGCATGGGTGACGCACGAGCTGTCAGCTGGCCACCTGTGACAGCGGGGAATGAGAAAGAGCTTTGTTTTCCTCTTCTGGGGAGCTGTCCTCCCTTGCAGATGCTCTCAGAACAGCTTTTTTTATCTCCCTTTTAAGACTTCAAAATGCAGGTTGAGGAGGGGCCCAGACCTTGTGCTGGTCCACTGCCTGAGGACATGGCCCAAAGGGAGACAAGAGGTTTGCTCCTCTGTTATATAGAGCTTTCTGTTTTCCTTGGAGTTTGGTGTTGCAGCTTTAGCTTTTCTATTTCCATCAGAATGACATTTTTTATTGGTTCTTAAACTGAAGAAACAACAAATTCTGCATCCTCTCTGGAGCACGGTCTTGTTAATGTTCTTTGAAACATGACATGTGTTGTGGCCGTCAAACTGCAATGATCCCATTTCTTCTGAAATGAGAAAAACATGTCACTTTTGGCTCTAAGTAATACAAAGGGAGAGTCATATTTTAGATAGGAGCTGCACGGCTGCCAAAGATGAAAGAAAAATGTTATTACTTTTGGAAATTTCATAATTACAGTTAATGATAATTTAATGAAATGACATTGTCTTCACCGCTATCACTAATGAAATGTTTGAGAGTGATAAAACAGATCTTGTTAAATAGAGTGAGAGTCTTGAGCAGAATCGCTTTGTGACAGCAGCCTGCATGCCCAAGTCTTGAATTCCTATTTTTTTTGTTATAGTAGTTTAAAAAAGAAGATAAAATGAAGGCTACATGGCAAATAACGCACATGTGAAGTATTTAAAGGCCTTCCATTAAGCAAACAACGCTGAACTCCTGAATAACATGCTGATGACTGAGTACTGCTCTTTAGAAATGCTAACCCTTCATTAAAACACTTCCCTTGTTTTGCTTTGCAGACAAACCAGAGAACAAGAAACCCCGCCTGACTTTTTTTATTTCTCAGACTATGAAAGACATAATGCAGAAATAGCAGCATTTCATTTGGACAGGCAAGTAAAATGGATTTACATTAAAAGAAAAGTGGAAATATTGTGATAAGTTTCTGCACTTGGCCAGCCCTGTAACTGAATTACTTTGAAAAAAGGGGAAAATGGAACGAAGGTGGGCAAATGCCATGAATAAATGAAATGCCAGGTGATGAAAGGGTAGATTAATAATTAGGAAATGTGACTTGCTCTGGGAATGAGAAACCAGGCAATAAGTAATTCTCAAAAAGCAAGAGAAATGATATTGCAGAGAAGCTGAGAAATGAATTTCCCCTGTGATCTTGAAGTGCGTATGGAGAGGACCCATCTCTTGGGGAACACGTCGGATCAGTGTGACGGGAGTCTGGCTCACCCCAGTTAGCTCCAGGGCACGCAAATCCACGCAAGACGTGGGCAATGGTGTGAGTATTCGGAGAGCAATGATTGAGATGGGGAGGGAGTTCTGGTTTCACAGCAGAAAGCCGGGGCCGTCCCGTGTCAGGAGCATGTTTAGGCCACAAGTTAGTGGGAAGGAGAGGACGCTGATGGTCATCCCATGCTCCTGTTTGTTAGCTGGAAATGTCCCCCCAGGCAGAGTTAGTGCGGGGTACGGTGGATACCGCAAGACTGGGAAGGGACTGCAGCCCTCTCAGCCTGCCCAGGTTAGGAGTGGGAATTAATAATTAGTGATGAATTATTAACAGAATGGCATTTCACAGGCTGAGTTAGAGCTGAAGCATCTTTCACACCCTGAAGTGCCAAGAAACATCCTTCCAAAAGCTTGAACCTTTGGGGCCACAAATTATTTGGGGGTACCTGTAGTTTTGTTGCCTTCTGGGTTGGTGGTCAGGGTAAGGGAACCTGCCAGCGCGTGGCACAGGGTACATGTGCCATTAAGAGCCACCCTGGTCGGATCCTTGAAGGATCTTCCATGTTTTATCTTTGTTGACCTTGGTGTTGATCCCTTCTGCTTTGTATTTTATATTGCCATTTTAAGCAGATGGTGCTGTAGGAAAAAAACCATTAATGGAGTTCCTGCAGGGAGGTATGTTAAATATCCACACACTAAGCAGAAAAAGCAGTTGCTGCCCAATGTAGAAAATCTTATCAGCAGATAGTGGACATAAAAATCCCACCTATGGGGAGGCTTTGTATGGGGACTTTGCTCTTTTACTGTATCTAATAGCAATGCTTCGTAGGGAGCTTTTAATGATCT